TTATTTTCATCTGAACTAAATGATATGGCTAAGAGATGAAGTTCTCCTTTCCAAAGGAATACTTAAAAAGTGTTTGAGGATAAAGGTCACAATTGAATTCCACTCTTTGCCCTCCTGAGGTAATTCAAGTTACAACATACGAATTGATTAAATACCTATTGATTTTAATGAATGGACAAGGAAATATTAATCCCACATTATCAGCAGTGATTATGTCTTTATTCCTTTGCTGCATAACTAGCCAATACCTTTCAAAGTTATCTAGAGATTACAGGTTAGGAGAGGGTTTTATGTGGCTGAAACTGATAAGCATCTGGGAATCCAGGTGCTCAACATTTAAATGCTCTGGCAATGAAGTGTTCTTTCATTATATGAAATTGTCACATTATTATTTTGCCTAATGATACCATCATTATCATATTCACTTGAGTGACAAAAATGCCAGATTCATGCCCATCAATTTTCTGCTATGTCATCCCAACTCAGAGAGCTTTTTCTTTTAAATCCATCAAATTAGCATACTGGGCTCAAACAGGAGAGAATAGATTTCAGTAGTGATATTCAAAAATTATATGCCATCTTGGTCTATCTCTATAGTTAATGCATTAAATTTAGTATTGCCAAGATTTAGCCATTGAAGCTTGAATTATTCTGAATTTAATTATGTGTATCAAGGCAAATATTTAAGTGTGAAAATTTTAATCAGAAGAAATAAGAAAAAAGTAAACACAATTTAGAAAGGATAAAAAGAAATATTCTTATTGTACCAAGCCGCTAATCTATATCATTCTAACTCCTTTGAGTGAATTAAAAGAACATGTTTGAAAATGATGCCTCATCTGCACACATATTAAAGCAAGTATCATTAGTGGAAATTATGAGAAAAATAGTTATAGGTGTTGTAAGGGCTTTAATAATTTAACAAATGATTACAGGAGACTTATAAAGATAGCAAATGAAAAGGCAAGATGTGTTAATTGTTAGAGGCTTAGGATCTAGATTCAGGTAACATGACTTTAGATCATATATATGTGGTTGAGTTTGGCAAGCTCCTCAAATGTTCAGAGCCTTACTTTAGTGCTGCCCAACATGCATCAGTGGGAGGGTAGAAGTAGCAATGTGCCTGGGACATGGTAGGTGCTCAATACTGGTTATTAATAATATGGATTATTGTCATTATTATTTTATTATATGGTCTTATTATCCTGAAGTAACTTTATTTCTAAGACTGGTTGTTTAGAAGGAAGAGTAGCCTAGGGGTATCTAAATTTCAGCTAATATTGGAAAAATGCTTTAATAATGTTCATGTGAATAAAACCAGAACTTGAAAGGGATAGTTCAGATGAATGATTAGCCCTTAGATAACTGTCTGACATCACTGCAATTAAGCTCACTATACAGAATCTAAAGGTGCCATCCACCCACCATCGAGGGAGGCTCCCCTTGGGCCTCTGACACGCTTTCTGTTCCTTCTTCTCACCCATCCATTAACTCAGGAGACTTCATTGTTTGCATCTCTTCAAACCCTCTCTCATGCTTTCTTCTCCATGCTCTTCTCCCTGCCACGGTGCCACATCTGCCTCTCCTGCCTTGGGGTTCTGTGCTTCTCCCACTCTCCTGTCCTGGCCATCTCTTGCAGGTGCTGTTGAAGAGCCCTCATCCTTTCCTAACAATTGCTCTCTTGGTCTTGTCTTCAGTCCATATAAAACATCTCTCTTTCCCCCCATTACAGGATGGTTAACAAATAAAACCCAAGCACAAAAATGACTTAAACTATATTTCAAGAACAGACCTGCTGAATTCCCAATTTTTTTTTTTTACTCGTTTTATATTACCTGGTTAAATGTAGTATGTACAGTGAAATCTTCTGGTTTCACCCAAACCCAGCAGGGTGAGCCACATAATGGGGAAGGTCCAGCTACTAATGACTCTTTAATTCCATATGAGCCAGCACTATGACATGTAAGTCACCAGCATGAAAGAAATGCAGTGGGTGTTGCTATGCATCCAAGGTGAGGCTGCAAGAATGAGGATGATGAAGGTAGGTGGGACAGCAGTAAGCATGGGTGTGGTCAGACTTCCTCATTCCAGTCTGTTCTCTGTGGAGCTCTTGGGAAAGCTGAAGCTGTGCATTGAGTACAGTCTTTCCCCTGAAACTCTGTAGGAATTCAATATTCAGACACAGGTTAGTGGAATTAGGGGATTGAAACATAATTCATGTGGTCTTTAGAGACAAGGTCTTGAATACTGGTGGCTTTACAGACAGAAGAACAGAAAAAACACATGTAGACCCAACCCATGTGCTCTCTGTCTTTTACCATGTGATGTTCTGCTCTGCTTCCAGACTACTCTGCCAGAAAGGCCGTCCCCAGATGACAATTCTCAATCTTGTACCTCCAGAATTTCGATCCAAAATAAATCTCTTTATTAAGTAGCCTACCCTAGGTATTTCATTATAGTAATGTAAAACTGACTAATACCACTATTCACTCTTTTAGTATGCTATGAGACCATCCATATAACATGCTTAGCACATTTTTAGAGTCTTATGACTGGTAGATCTGAATGAATGATCTTTGTCTCTGTGTGTGTGTGTGTGTGTGTGTGTGTGTGTTTTCATTTTCCCTTCAAGGTTTATCTTCAGGGAATTCCAAAGAAAAGATAAAACAAAAGCAGAGACAGGTACTTGCTAAGAATTATGTATATATATATATATACATAGTTATGAAATATAATTATTATTCCAGACTTCCTTAAAATTTCCATTTGTGTATTATATCTATTCATCTACTTAAATTTTTGAACAAATATTTGTTGAATGACTACTATTGGGGTACAACAGTGAATAAAGCCAAGTTCCTTTCCTGATTTACATCTTAGAGGAAGGAGATGAGCAATAAATAAACCAGTAAGTATACAGTGTATCAGATGGAGGAAAGAGCTATAGAGAAAAATAAATCAGGATGGCGGGCACAGTGGTGTGGAATTTATTATTATTTTATGAAGACTGCTGTTCTCCTGCCTGACTGGTCATCATTAGCTCCACAAGAAGAACAGATTAGCTTGCAGATAACTAGATATTTTATTGTAATCCACTGGGATGGGGCCAGGATGAGGCTGAGTCCCTCAGGTGGCCAGACAACAGAAACCATGAGCACTTCCTGAGGATATAGACCTACACTAATGTAATGTGGAGGAGAACCAAGATAGTATCAAAGGACTGAAGTAAAAAAAAAAACAAAAAAAACAAACAAACTAGAAATGTCAATCGAATGGTGTCGTCCAGGACTTCCTAACAAAATTACTTCCTCATTATGAAGTTATGAAAAGACAGAAGGATGGAAAGGCAGCTTTAATTTAGCATCACAAAAGACCCTTGGTTGATTATGTATAAGAATTCCTGGATCTCATAGAGAGTAAGCTCTTGGAGCCTCACTGTTAAGGTGTCCAGTGAAGAGGGAACAGGGGGATAGAGAGCAGTGTGGTATCTGGGGGAGGAGAATGGCAATTGCAAAGTCCCCCCAAAGCAGGAACTTAGGTGGACTCTTGGTAAACAGCAAGGAGATGAGGTCAGAGAACTGGGGGGCGGGGGTTGAAGGGTGGGTAGAACACAGGGGATCCTCAGACTAATTTAAAGATTTTAGCTTTTAGTCTGAGTGAAAAGGGGAAAGTAGTGACAGTGTCTGATGCAGTCACATGACTTGACTGACATGTTTAAAAATTCTTCCAGTTGCTCTGAAGGAAATAGACTAAAGGGATTTGGAGGTGGAGACAAAGAGGGAACCAGGGAGATCTTAGGTAACTGCCGGAATCCAGTCAGAGTCACAGGTGGCTTGGACCCACCTGAGGATGTGGAGGTAGTGAGTAGTGGTCAGATTCCAGACGTGGTTTGGGGAGGTAGAACTGACAGGATTTACTGATGGCCGATTTGTGACTGATTGCAAAACCTTGTTTGTGTTAGTATGTTGTTTCATTCAATGTGACCAACAAGCATGAAAAGTGGTCTTGAGACATTATTTGGGTACAAAGCCTAAGTCTTAACAGGGCAAGGATGAGTCCTCGAATGTGGGTGTTATTATGTTCAGCCCCTCTGTACCGGCCTGTCTTCAAGGTGTCCTTCCAAATACCTTTCATATATAACATCAATTTAAAGTCAAAACAAACAGTTTAATTCACGGTGCCCTTCCTTTAACATAGCATTTCATTAGGCTCTGAGGAATTTCTCGGACTTCTTACACAGGAGCTTTGTAGTGTCCTGAGAAGAGAAGACAAACTCCTTGAGATGGCTCACCAGTCTCTTCTTCATTTGATGAGAGGTAATTTCCGCAGCTTTATGTCTGGGATCTCCAACTCCACACACCCACATAACTTTTCCAAACACACACACACACACACAAACACACATTGACTGTCCTCATTAAATGTCCTTATCCTCACTGGATGTCGTTTCCAGATTAACATAACAACTCAAACATGTATTTCTGATCTGTAAGGATAAAGAAACCAAAATATGGCAATGAATAAAAAAAAAAAAAACTATAAATTAGTACTCTCAGAAAAGAGTTGTACAAGCCTCACATATTCCAGAGATGTCCTTTTGGGTTTTGTCTTTTTCCCTCAGCATAAAAAGAACTGTTGCTTTGTATTCTTAAGACACCTCTGGAACAGGGCTAGAGGGGAAGAGGATGTAAGGGAGATAGGGAGACTCAGATTTTTAAGTAGGCAAGTTATTTCCTGGAGCATAATTAGAATTTAAACAGCATGATACTGATTTTGCTCCTCACTCTTATGGTTGAGAAATAATGAAAATTAACAGCACCTTTACTGAGATCAAACATAAAAAGATTCCAGCTTAGTACCTTATAAAATCAAGTTAATTTCCATCCCTGGGATAAACAGGTCTGCAAAGGCCAGTAAATGAAAACTCAAATACGATCTTGGACAATTTTTTTCACCTTAGGTCCTATTGGCTCTTTTATAAAAGCAACACAGCGTGTGAGGAGTAATTATTCAGTCTCCAGACAACCTTTCAACTCCTCTGTGATTCTGAAGCTCTGGCGAGCCTGTGAAGTGAGCCACAGACGGCAGCTCTCATGCTTGGATTTGGCATGCAGGATGCCTTTCTCCCTGAACCATCATGGTGCCAATACAAGGTAATTTGGCTGGATTGATTTCATCAGGAATTAGTGTCCTCACCCACCATGGAGATAGGAGTCTCCCAGCTCCTAATGGTTATTACCTATGTTCCTGACTCTCCATTATTTTTCTTCCTCTTCTGTAAAATGAGTCTGACTGGTAGCTTGAAGTTACCTAGAATGAGGCTTTTGCATGACCTACCTAATCATTCAGCTCTCTGTTTGTTCCATAAAGACATTAAATCAATTATGTTACTCCCATACTCTGCTTTTGTGGGTCAATGCATATGTAATTCTCTTCTGAAGAACGGCTAGTCTTACATTAGGATCAATCAGTGTAATGATTTTCAACCAAAGTGGTTCTATAATAATAATTTTAAAAGAAAAATACAAAGTGTGACCTTCTGGTAGAAACCCAATAAAAAAAAAACTAAGTTCTAAATATATAAAAAATAGATTGGGAGAGTGTGTTCTGCCAGTTACTGAATAAGAAGAAACTGTTTCTTACTATATAGCAATTATTTGCTGTAGATCCCATTTATTCATGTCTATGTGTGAATAACAGTTTCAAGAAAATGTAAACACTTCTGAGTAAGCTAACATGTTTGGTTATTATCAACTACAGTAATTGTGGTAGATTCAATTGTTATTTAAAAAAATCTTTATAGCTGGGCTTAGGATGTGAGTTGTTTGGGATAAATGGTGGACTGAATATAATTCCCTGCCTTTTGACTTTGGGCTTAGCTATATGCCTTGCTTTGGTCAGAGGAACGTTAGGAGACTGGAAATATAATTTCATCAGGAGGCTGAGGCAAGAGGATCACAAATTCAAGGCCAGCCTCAGAAACTTAGCAAGACCCTCAGCAACTTAGTGAGACCTGTTTCAAAATAAAAGATCAAAAGGACTGGAGATTGACTCAATGATAAAGCACCCTTGGGTTCAATCCCTGGCATCAAAAGAAGAAAATAAAAAAGGAAGGAAGGAAGGAAGGAAGGAAGGAAGGAAGGAAGGAAGGGAAAGAAAAGAAAATATAATTGCATGTTTTACTCTGATCTCATATTTCTGTCATTGCCATATACTGTAGTTTAGATCTAAAAAGTCACCCAAAGGTCTGTGTGTTGATAGGTTGGTATCTAAAATGGTGATGCTAATGGGAGATGATGGAAACTTCAGGAAGTGAGCCCAGGAGGAGGTCTTTAGAGCATTGAGGGTACACCCAAGAAAGGGATTTTGAGACCCTGGTCCCTTTGTTTCTTTGGCTTCCTGGCCAAGAAGGGAATTTTGCTCTGCTGCATGCTCCCACCAGGATATCAGCTGCCTTGCTACAGGCCTAAAATAAATAAAGCCAACTTATCATGAACTGGCACCTCTGGAAATGTTAGCTGAAATAAACCTTTTCTCTTTATAAGCCGACTACCTCAGGTATATGCAATAGTAACCAAAAAGAGCTGATGAAACACACCATACTTCCTTGAGAAAGCTGTTGTCCCTTCCTGCTGGGTCCCAGAATGACAAAGTTGGAGAAGATTAGACCTCAAGTGGAACAAAGTCTAATCTAGAGCAACCTCCAACTGACCATATACACGTGGGTACATGTGGTTTTAAGCCAAGGAGTTTTGGATGGTTTGTTATGTAGTAATAGCTAAGTAATGCAATGGATACTCACTGGTTAAGTATGTTATTTATTCATGATCTCATGATCTCATGAATGCTTTATTTTTGTACCAGGGATTGAACCCAGGGGCACTGAGCTACTTCCCCAGACTGATTTTTTTTTTTTTTTTTTTGAGACCAGGTCTTGCTAAAGTCACTTAGGGCCTTACTAAATCACTGAGGCTGGCTTTGAACTTGCAATTTTGCCTCTGCCTCCTGAGCTGCTGGGATTACAGGCATGCACCACCACACCTGGTTTTATCTCTTTAATTCTTATACCACCTCGGAACTAGATATTATCATTCATTTTGCAAGAATATATGGTTGTAGAGTCAAGATGTGAACCCCCAAACTAAAACCTTTTTAAGACTACAGAGTCAAAGCTCTTAAATATTTATGGAATAAAATCACTCATAAAATTAATAGTTGAGAACTGCCTACCTTTGGTTTTCATGACTGGCTCTTTCCTAGCCTTTGAATTTCAGAAAGGTTTACCTGACTACCTTAAGTGGCCTTCTCTCCATTATTTTCCCTCTTACCTCCTCATTGATTTCTTCAGCGCATTCCCATACTTTGGAATTGATTTGTTTGCTTGCTTGCTGTCTTGTCTTCCACATCACCAAATGCAACTGTAGGGTAGAAACACGCTCATGTTTTTATTGTTGTACCCCAAGCATCTAGCAGAATGATAGGCACATAGTAGGTGCTCAACAAATATTTGCAGAATGGACAAATGAGTGAGTAGGACAGAGATATAAAGAACAGGCTGGTGAGTGGGGAACTGTGAACCTTTATGGGACATTGTAGAAAGGAACCATGAATTACAATCAGGATTTGAGGAGGTGAAGGGACATGAGGGAGGGCTGTAGAGATAAGGAGGAGGGAAAGTGTAACAAACCAAGTTTAATCTAGTGAACTTTGCCACTTCATAATAAGTAGAACTTGTCTGGGAAACTCAGAAGTCTTTTTTTCCTTGAGAAACTTCAAACCAAAATATATCCTATAAAAACACACACTAGAATAGGTATGATGTCTTTTTTTTTTTAATTTGAAATGTATTTTTTCTTGTAGGATTTGAAAAAAAGAAACATGAAGGAAAAATCTCACAGTAACTGATGCAAAAGGAACAATGGTATCAAACCAAACAAGACCTTAGGTGAGCCATCTTCTTTGACTGCTTGGTTCACAGGGGATCTGGCTTAGTCTTGGGAGAGAAGTTCAGACAGGAGGCCAGAGTACTGATGAATCTCACTGGTGATTTTCTTTGGGGTAGAAACAATAAATATATCAGATGGGTGAGAAATTCAAAAGGGCCTTGACAAGATGAAGTCTGGGGTCTGAAAGAGTTAGTTCCATGCTGGAGAATTACAACTGGTTTAGAATGGACTTCTAAATCTCAATGGGCAACAGTGTAACAGTGGATGCTCTTGTATTTTGTTTAATAGAGAAAGTTGGGGTGGCTCTCTGGGTTGTTGATTCTCCTGGATTTGTGAGTTGGTATCCATATCATCTGCCTGGATGCTCTGTTCTTTACAAACCATTATGAACTCAAAGTGTTCAAGTGCTGAGTTTCATGAGTTTGGGGGACACATTTAAATCACAGCAGTGACTTTGCATCAGTCAGATCGGTAGATTTATTTATACGGACACAGAATAAATATTTCATTACAAATAAAAATACCTCAAAAGGTCTATTTTGCTTTTAATGACAAATAAAGAAAGCTGGACATATTTCTGCAAAAAGCTAGTGGGAAAACATAAGATTGCCATCTCTTATTTCCTTATGATGGATCTGCAAACCCTTTTGCTTCATAGAAAGCTTTTACTAGCCCTTAGGGCAGCACAGATTGTGGGGAGGAAAATTTCTCCCCTTGGTTTTGCGGTGATGACAAGAAATAGAATTGGGGCTGAGACAAAGGCTGCTCTTCATTTTCTCTTGTTTTTGTTGTTTTGATGGTGGTGGGGTTGGTGTTAAGGAAGAATGAAGGTGTGGGAAGAAGGAAGGCATTTTTTATTCCAAAATTAATAAATTACTAATTAAAATAAAGTGGCCTTTTGACACTGTGAAGTAGGTCAATGTAAGAGAGGAAAAAAATCATTTGTTTTCCTTTTGCTTTTGGCATTGTAAATGAATACCCCTTTAGGAAAATTGTATATGGAGTCTCACAAAATTCATTGCTCTATTTATTCAACGTGACAGGAATGAAAATGAATCTACAGAAAATAAAGTAGAATGAATTGACTTTATTTTTAAATGTTTATATCAATTTTTTTTCAATGCCAGCCTGGTGGTATTTATTAGCAAATATTTATTTAGCCCTCATTGTGTTTTGTGCTTAAAGAAAGGATGGCGGGGGTAGGGGGGGGGTAGAACTAGTAAGACCTGTTTGTTATCTGAGATTAATCTGTGTTTCTACCTAACTGGAGAGTACATGGCAGCACCTTTTTTTCTAGAATCCGGCATTGACCATCAAAGAGAGGGCTAATCTCACAATAAAAACAACAACAACAACAACAAATACAGGAGGAATACAAACATATGATATACATGTATGGATGCTTCTAGACAATAGCACATGTGAATGATGACAGATATCTGGACCTTCCTGTACTGTCTGGGGAACTCACCATACCATTCCCAAAATAATTTGGGCAAAGAATTTACTTATATATATATATATAGGCATGCACAGACAGCTACCCATTACAGGAATACCAGTGAGTAAATAGCAATTAGCAATTGCTGATTGTAGAATTAATTAATAATTTGGCATTATAATTGATGCTGGATAATAAAATTATAAGAAATATTATGTTCTCACCAGATGTTTAGCATTTATATATTTAAAATCAATTTGGGAAAGGAAGGGAACAGAACTATTAAATTGGACTTTTGGGAAATGACATGCTAGAGTGAAATTACTCTCTGGTTTTAAGTGAGATAACACAGAACTATGGTGGTCCTAGCACAAATATTACAGCATCTTCTTTAACTCTCAAAAATGTCCTAATTTGGATTAAAAATCCATCCATACTGAAGCAGTATTGATTTGCAAAAAGTGGATTATTTGCATTCCAACTGAGTTGTGTTTACTGTATAACCACTATCAACTTGTTAATAATAATAACAATGAGTCATTTTAACCAGTAATTTTTATTTTGTGATTACTAGGGTTCTAGTAATCAAATCTATTATGTAGTATATTGAGCATTTTACGTGAATTAGTTTATTTAATTTTCACATCCTTACAGGGTAAATACCTTCATTATTGCCATTATGTAACCTTATTTAAAAAGAAGGAAAAAAATGGGAATACAGAGTTGTTAAGTAACTTGACAAAGGACACACAGTATGTGCTGAAATCAGTGTTCAAACAGAAACATTTTTATGCCAGCTTATTTTGTTCTATGATCAAAAATCCTACATTATAGATGATGAAGTAGAACATAAGCACATTAGTTGATAACATAGTATAATTATTAAGAAAAAAATAAATTACATTACTTATTCTTGGTGTTCCCCCCCATCTGTTGTACATAGTTATAATAAAGAGTTCAAAAACTTATGTAAAGGGTCTGGGGTGTGGCTCAGTGGTAGAACATGAGGCACTGGGTTCCATCCTCAGCACAACATAAAAAAATATATATAATAAAGGTATTGTGTCCACCTACAACTAAAAAATATAAAAAATAGTTATGTAAAATATAAAACATTGTCTATATGTTGAATGATATGATATTTATCCCTTCTTCTGCTATAGTTTTGTAATTAACAAATTATACCTTAAATCAAAGGAGTAGAGAATTGAAAGCAGTTTCTTTTCCCAATCCAAAGATATTTTTCTTGAAACCCCGTGACTTTCAAGTTTCATTTTGTGGCCACAGGCAAGGAAAATACCAGGAAATCAATAAAAGCTAGGAAAATGAATTGCAAAGCAGCAGCAAGATCCCAGTTGAGGTTGGCAAGAGATGAGCAAATGTATATATAATCTGCATAGGGCTTTAGGTCTTCCCAGCTGATGGATGATTTCTCAATAGCACTCTGGGCTAGAAGATAGAAGCAGACAGGGCTGGCAGTGCATGATTAAACGATGGAATACCAGAATTACCAAGCGTGGTGAGTGTGGGATGATGCTGAGAACAGCATCGGAGAAGCCAACAGTGGAGGAATGCATCCATAGGGAGTAGGTAAAGTTAAAATATGAGTGAATGAAAGATGAGGAGATTGAAAATGCAGACTCACAAATATGTTAAGAAAAAAAAAAAAACTAGATAAGGATTTAATGGCAGCCCAAGTGGGGAAACTGTCAAATTCAGGAATGAAACTGGTAGGATCTAACACTTAGCTGGAGTGGCAAATGGCGGATGTAGCAATTCCATGCTATCCAGAAGCAGTAAGTGGTATTGCTTCATAGTGGTACTGGGGAATCAAATACCTGGAAGTAGTTAGCATGGGATCAGACACATAGTAAATGTTTAATAACGTGTAAGTATTTAATACAGTCTTAGAAACTTAGTAAATGCTTAATATGTGATTGTTCAACAAATGTTCCTGCAGATTGTTATACTCGTTAATATTAGGGTGTTAGATTAGATGATTAATCTTACATGTAAAATTGACTAGGCTAGTTGTTTCTTGGAGAGCTGGTAAAACTATTTCTGGGTCTGTCTGTGTGGGTGTTTCTGGAAGACTTTATCTTTTGAATCAGTGAACTGAGTAAAGAAGATCCACCCTGGCCAACATGGACAGGCATCACTCCTTCTGTTAAAGGCCCAAATGAGACAAAAAGACTGAGGAAGAGCAAATTCTCCCTTCTCCTTGTGGAGCTGGGACATCCAGCTTCTCTACTCCCCGGACGTCTGAGATCCTGGTTCTTGAGACTTTGGACTACAAAACTTACACCAGCATCTCCTTCCCAGCCCAGTGGTTCTCAGGTCTTTGGCATCAGAAAGGAGTGACATCATTGGCACCCCTGGCTCACAGACCTTCGGACTCAGGCTAAATTGCACCAATGGGTTTTCTGGTTCCCTTACTTCGGGAAAACCTAAATAAGCCATGTAGCTTCACTTACTTTTTGTTGAGTTAAAAATCACTAATTTGGGGGATCACACAGCTGAGTGATATACATTATTAGTCTCCCACTAGCTTTGCTGTAGGTAACATTCTGCCCTCTGGGTTTAGGGATAACAGTTGCTAGGTTACATTTAAGTGACTTGAAGGTTGAACACACTCACTCTTCTCTCAGGTCTGCAGATGGCTAATGGGTGGTTGGAATGGAATGGAAAGGTTTGGCATCTCTCCTTGATATTTTGTCTGTTCCCTTGGTGCCTTTAGCCTTTGGGTCGGGCTTTACTGAGCTTTGGATGTAAACATGTTGATCATTTAAACTTTGTCCAGAATCGTAACAAGGGATTAACTTAACCTAGACTTGCCTCATCACTTTCCCCACCTTCAAGTCTATCAGAATCATGACCAGAAATACCAGACCCTGATAGAAACAAAAAGAAGTCACACGTGAGTTCCTGGAAGATCTCCAGCTGTCTCCAGAGAAGACATGAACATTACCTCCTGTTGTTAGTCTCTTTCTCCCTCAATATTCCTATACTCTATCTATAACTTCTCAGCTGCCTGAGAGTTGGGAAGATATTTGTGAGCAGAGCTCCCATTTTCCCATTCTTTAGCCACTGAATAGAGCATTTTCCCCCCTCCTATTACTTTGTCTCTGGCTTTATTAAGTGGCAGCAAAATTGGACTTTTTCTCATTTACAGTTCTTCAGCTTGCAGGTGACATTCTGGGAGATTCTTGGCTTCTGTAATCAAGTAAGCCAATTTCCATAATAGATTGCTTCTTAAACATCTCTATCTAAATATCTATCTCTCTATCTATAGATATATCTTCTGGTTCTGTTTCTCTGAATAACCTTGACTAAGGCAGCATGAAGCTAGGCATGTAATTCCAGTGACTTGGGAGTATAAGGGTAGGGGGATGGCAAGTTCAAGGTCAACTTGGGCAACTTAATGAGACCCTGTCAAAAATTAAAAATTAAAAAAAAAGTAGGGATGGTTCTGGAAGTGTAGGTCAGTGGTTGTCGCGACCCCTCGCCGGCAAGGGAAAACACGACACAGGATTCTTCTTTCAGCAGTTTATTCAGGCCTTGTTTCATGTATCATCTTCTAGCGACCCCCCTGCCGAGCACCCAAGCACAGCCTAATAAAGCCTCCTGCATACCAATCCCAAGCTGCCACGTGGATCTCTCTCATAGGGTGGTAAGGGATTGCGCGCCAACTCTCCAAAAAAGGAGTTGTTTATCACAGGCCACAGTGGAAGCCGGCGCCATCTTCTAATGGCGGCCACGGTCTATAAGAATGGCTTACCACAAGTGGTAGAGTTAAAACTTTGTCCAGAATCCAAAGAGTTCCATTCTTATTCCAACAAGAACATTAATTTTTCTATTCTTGCATTGTATCTAGTGCTACATTGTATCTAGTGCTATGGAGGTCAATCTCCAAACCACAACAAAACAAACAACAACAAAAAAAGAAAAAATATGCATGGAACTTAGAGGTGTGATAGTGAATTGGGAAGGTAAAGAGGAAAAACATACATGAGGGGTTTTTTTTTTGTACTGGGGATTGAACTCAGGGGCACTCAACCACTGAGCCACATCCCCAGCCCTATTTTGTATTTTGTTTAGAGACAGGGTCTCACTGAGTTGCTTAGTGCCTTGCTTTTGTTGGGAATGGCTTTGAACTTTTCCTGCCTCTGCCTCTGGAGCTGCTAGGATTACAGACATGCACCAACCACCGTTCCCGGCCATGTTTTTGAAGTATCATAGAAGACAAAAGTAGGTCTAGCAGCACAGAGTAGCAGAGCTGGAAGGAAAGAGGAAATGGTGTGATAGTAGCAATTAGGAAGGAAGAATTAAAACAAGTAGTTGCTTGAAAAAGAGAGCAAACCCCTCCCAAGCTCTCATGGGATCTTTTACGTAGTTTCCTTCCTTCTTTTCTGCTATTCTTGCAATTTATTCTCACATTCGTTCATTTAAAGCCAAGTTTTCTATGTGTTGAATTATATATACTAAAAAGCAAATTGTGGGAGAATTTATAATTCAGTCTAAGAAGGAGGTGATTTTCATTCATACATATTCTTCATCGCTTTCTGAATGCTTATGCTCATTCTCTGTTCTCTTTGCCACATCCTTAATTATCATCAGAATGAAGAAGGAGTTTCATATCACAGGTGTTGGCAGCAAACAAATCTGCAGCTTCGGAGAAGGAAGTCCTAGTCTGAAAGCAAACAAATGTTTGCAAAAACAGAGTAGATATTGCATTTATAGACAGAATAGCTTGTCTAAGCTCTGGAGTCTAGGTTCAGCACATTTGATACAAGGGATGGCTTCCATTCTTATTCCAACAAGAACATTAATTGTTCTATTCTTGCATTGTATCTAGTGCTACAGCACAAACCTCACTCCCTTAATTAGCTTTCCAAGGATTCAGAAAAGGGTCCACTCCTGATCTGAATTGTTTCCCTTGGTGATATTATTAAGTTTCATTTCAGCAGCTTGGAGACAAAACCCATCAACCAATCAGCAAGTTCATAAGGCATCCCTACTATGAGGTTGGCTTTGTGTTAGAAGCCCTCTAGGAGCCTGCTCTTGAATTGAGGAGGCAAAACCTGTACATATGCAAAGGTAAGAGAATAATGAGGGCCAAACTGGGCAGAACTGACTCTAGGACAATAGAAATTCAGAGAAAGGAAAAATCAGTGTGGGCTAAATAGCCAACATTTATAAATTGTTATTATCAATTACTATCATTATAACAACAATGGCCAGCATTTATTGAGTATTAAGTGCTCTCCATATGCCAAGGTACTGTGCAAAGCGCTTTGTGTGCCTCCTCTGATTTAATCCTCATAATAACACTCCTATTATTCCTACTTATAAAGAGAAAACAACATACTCCTATTATCCCCATTTTATAAATGAGGATACTGAGTCTTAAAGTGGTTATATAATTCAACAACAGTTACAAAGTCAGCAAAACCAGAATTCATATTTTAACATAGGTTTGTCTGGCTCCAAATAACTGTGAACATAACATATATAAAACCTTACATCCAATCAGGTGGCCCAGAGCATGAGGATCACAGGAGTCAGAGCAATGGAATGAGTTTAAGCACAGCAGGTCATGCATTTATTCATATCCTCTTTCATTCATTCGGAATGGTGTTTGAGCATCTACTACATTCAAAACATCACACTAGGAGTTGTGAGGACTATAGAAAAAACCCAGCATTCCTTCTCTCAAGCAGTGTGCAGCCTGGTCAGAGGTGACTTGAGCTGGGGTGAGAATGTATGAGAAGCAGGAGAAGGTGGAGAGTGGGAAGTTCTTTGAAGAAAGAACTTCTACGTGGACTTAAGGCTCCAAGTGCACTAAAAGCCTTAGGTCATAATTTCTTCATGAATTGATTCAATAACTTTTGCACACAGTTTTTGCTAGGAGCTGAGGAAAAATGGAGATTCCTCAGAAAACTTAGTTGTGGGCTAAAGACACTAATATGGAAATGAATTGAGATTGTGGAAGAAATAGGAATTAACCAGATGCAAAAGAAAAGGAATATAATTATCCCAGCAAGCAAAATAGAAGGAATTCCTGAAAGTTGTGTTTGGGGTAAAGGCTGGTACCTATAAAAAACTGAAGACCAGTCAGGTAAAATGTAGGTGTTTTTTCCTTGACATCTTCCTCTTCCTAACTCCTATATCCAATGTGCTACCAAGTCTTTCTGGTTTTATTTACTAGTGAATATTTGTTGATCTGTTTAGATCTCTAAACTAGTAACACTGTCAGCACCATTCTATCTTAAACCAGCACTATGCTTTCCCTGCTCTTTGGGCTTTCTGGATTCACTTTTGCTAGCTTCCCATCCTTTCTTTACATTATTGCAAATCTGATCCATCTCTGCCCTCTCTCCCTCTTGACTGGCTCTCCCTTGTCCCAAATGTTAAAGCACAGTGACGGGTGTGTAGCAGAGCACTGTGAGGAAGATAAGCACCCGTCCAGCCACCTGCCACTGGACGAAGCATCCCGAGGTATGGAGGTGCTGCTCGTCCAGCTGGTCACCACTCATCATTCTGGCAAAGCACCAAAGGCACCAGGAGAAATGGAAGTGCTGCTTGTTGAGTCCACTGCCATTGGACATTCCTCACAAGCATTTTTTTCAATAAATCTATGTCTCAGCCCATTTCGGGGTGTCTTCTTTTGGTCTCTTAGCAACCCATCCCACTGCTGTAGCACAATTGGGCTGTGGATAAAGGAGTGTTCAACACTATGAGGTGATTGTCCTTTCATTTCATTATATTCTACACTAGATACTTATAGTTTCTGAATCTGGATTAAAGGATAAAGCAGATAGAGAACCTTCAAACAAAGGCATCTATGAACATGCAGGTGATATAGAAAGCAGTTATTTATTTAAATTAGCACAATGAAAAATAATACAGTTCTTTATGGTCACATAACATTAAACAATATAGGTCAGGTAGTATTCTAAGCACATTAAGTCACCGAGTTCTTGCAATGAACTACAAATTAACTACAAATTATATTTATTTTTGACTGTAAAGGTGAATGACTTGTCTGAGGTCACATGAGCATAAGTGGATGGACTAGAAAGTGAACCCAAGAAATTCAAAGTAAGGATCTGACCTTCACTCACCGCTGCAATATACCATACACTTGTGGTACCTCTGACCTGTGCACCAGGAGTCACACAGTTGTGAATGCCTACTAGGTACAGAAGCCAAACAACTTGAAAAGAGTGACAATGGAAAACAAAGAAGGAACTGATGGGGTAAATCAAGCAGGAAATCAAGTGTGGCTTCAACATCTCGAAAGTTAAGAGAGAGTGAGACAGAAGTGGCAAAAGATGGGGATTCTCTTCCGCGTTTTTCAGGTGGGGGGATATGAAAAAGCAATAGTGAAAAGACAAGATTGTCAGGGGATAAGGAAGAAGTAGAAGCTGAGAAAGAAGAGAGTAAAAATACTGTTCTGAGAAGTTTGAGAGCAATATAATGTCAATGTGAAAGTTTACTGAATGGAGAGTTGATTTAACTACCCTGATTTGATCATTATAGACTCTGTATACATGCATTGAATTATTATTCTGTACCCCACAAATATGTATCATTAAAATAATAATGAATAGGGCTGGGGATGTGGCTCAAGTGGTAGCGCGCTCGCCTGGCATGCGTGCGGCCCGGGTTCGATCCTCAGCACCACATACAAAACAAAGATGTTGTATCCGCCGATAACTAAAAAAAAAAAAAAAAAAAAAAAATATTAAAATTCTCTCTCTCTCTCTCCTCTCTCACTCTCTCTTTAAAAAAAAAAAAAAAAAATAATAATGAATAAAGATTTTTAAAATATATTTATTTTTCTCACACTGGGATACTGTGCCATTTATATACTTTTGCCTTTAAAATATTCTTCCTTATTCCATCCTTTTAAAAGCATATATAGGCTTTTCTCTAAATTAATTGAGCAGCCTAATACCTAGCATCTCCCTCTCTTTTTCCCTTTAGAGTTGGGCATTTTACTGACTTCATTGCTCTTTCCCATTCACCTTTTAACTCACTGAAGTCCAATTTCTACCTGTACTTCCCCAGGAAAGTTCTCTCACATGAGGTCACTCATGACCTCCATCCAAGGACTAGTACTTTTGTAATTCACCCCTTCCTTGAGCCTGTTATTTCTAGATGAATCTTCTCTCATTTCTCTGATGGACTCATATCATTCTCACTCACAAGCTCTTATTCCATCTGCCTGGTAAAATCTACTGTTCCCTGGGGTTCTCTTACAAATCATGACCTGAAACATTCTGTATATATTAGAAACATAATCCAAAAGAACTGAGTTTGAAGATTCTAAATATGTGATCAGGAAATAAATGTCAAAGAAGAGAGTTGAGATGGTACAAATTTGGAGAATTCTAAATCAAATGAGGTAGGTTTAAACTGAATGGCCATGAGGGATAAAGTTGTAACATTAAGACAGAGGGAGGCAGGATGACTCAGGATCACTGTGTGACTGAAGTGAGACTGTGCTGAGAGTGCTAGGTCTACTTAGTCTGGATCAGAAGACCAAGCATGTACCTGGTTCACACCAGGCTGAGGTTACCACAAAGCTTAATAGGGGCCACAAACTCCCTGTAGTAGTGACTCTTTTTTGGAAAATGGATTCGTGAAAGATTGATGAAATTTATACGTTGTCCTCCGTAGGAAAAGGTATATATTCACATAAATATGAGTTCAACAGGTTTATATAACCATACTCTAAAACATGGAAGGTTCCAATCTTTTGCAAGCCAGCAGAACACCCCATGCATTAAACAATTAATTTGTACTTTGTCCCAAAGTCCATACTGATTAAACCAGGGTGGTTCCTGGCAAATGATTTTTGGGTGAACTGCACTTTTTTCCCTCTATCTCCTGTCTTATTTTGTAGATCTATATTGGGGATTTAAAAGAAGACACAATGATTATTCTACTAACATATGTTTGTCTTTTTTGTGAAACTCTTGTACATGTCAGTTTCCATTCATAATAGGCCTGAATCCAATTACTCTCTTCCAACCAAATACTGTTGGAGAACTCTGTATATGATTGAATTACTATGTTATTATCCAAGAGGCAACAAGTAATCTTGAATTTTGTCAATAATCAATCACTATATATTTTTCTCACTCAATAGAGAATGCCTTCATGTCATAGTTGGATCATGGCCTTCATTAAGGCATTCCTTTATCACCAATATCTGAGGGAAAAGTCACCTGATATTGACATGTTCTCTCCCTATAACAAACACCCATCTACCCACTCATTCAAAACATTTCATGAATACTCACCAAAATGCTAAGTTCTGTGCCATATCCAGAGGATAGGCCAATGAACAAGTCTTTGCAATCAAAGAGTTGGTCTCCTGGCAGAGATAGAATGTAAATTTGTTGAAGATATAGTACAATGTACTCAGTGGTTCTTAACCCTGGATTTTTAGCAGCACCACCAGAAAGATTCTTTTAAAAGATTATACGCAGAACTCCAACCAAGAATTTCTAGTTTGCCTGCTCTGGTGTTGTTCTGATACTTATTAACAAAACACAGGTGAAATCTGTGTAGCCTCTGTAATGGAGGAAAATTCAAGGCACTATAAGGGCATTTAAGAGTTACCTAGGACCTGAATGAATATCTGGTGGAAAGGAGATCTGAATTAATTCATTCAGGAAAGAAGAAATACCTAGTTGAAGCAGCGAGAAGCCTCTTCCAACGAAATCTATTGGCATATGCAAAAGTATGAAAGTATACAGCAAACAAAATTACTTTACTCCACAAATACTTATTGAATGTCTTCCATAATCCAGGCTCTGTACAAAGACCTGTGAGCTAGACTGTAGTCATCAGACAAAAATCACACCTGATCTTATAGAAATTATATTGGTAAATACTGATATTATAACACTAATTATAGAAATGATTGCTTAATTACAATTCTGAGAAATACTATACAGCAAAATATACAGCAAAAATACCAAAACTATGAGGGTCTACTTGGATCTATATCACTCATGGATTAGAAGGCTTATCCAAAGAGTGAATATTCATGCTGAGATTTGAAGGAGGGACAAGAGATGGTCAGCAGGAATGGGAGTAGAATATAGAGAGTTGCTGCCAGAGAGAACCGATTTGCAAAGTCTTGATGTGGAGTGCATGTCCAGTGGAAGCCAAATCACAGTAACTTAGGGGAGGGTGAAGGAGGGAGAAGGAACAGTGTTTCCTCAGGGTAGAGAAACCCAAGACCTGATAGGCAAGCCGGGCCTGAGTATATCACTTTCTTTCCATTCCTATGCTGCATCTATGATGCATCTGTTGGTGCATCTCTAGAAGTTAATAGTATTTCCACAAACATCTCAATGTCCTCAATACAGTCCTGTGTTTCAGATAATGCACAATTGCTAATTGGCTCTCCTAATTTAGAGTCTAAAATCAATCAGCAGAGTGAAGATTAGAGCTCAAGACTGATGTTTTAGTCAGTTTTTTCACTGCTGTGACTAAAAGACCTGACTAGAACAATTTTAGGGGAAGAAAAGTTTATGTGAGTCTCATGGTTTCAGAGGTCTTGGTTCACAGATAGCAGTTTTCATTGCTCAGAGCTCCAGGTGCAGCAGAACATTATGGCAAAAGAGTGCAGTGGAGGGAAGTGGCTCACATGATGATCAGGAAGCAGAGAGAGACTTCATTAGGTACAAAATATATACCCCAAAGGCATCCCCCCAATGATTCACCTCCAGCCACATCCTACCTGCCTTCAGTTAGAGGCTCAGTTAATCCTGTCGGCAGATTAATCCACTGATTTTGTTAAGACTGTCATAACCCAATCATTTCTCCTCCAAAGCTTCTTGCATTTTCCCACACATGATCTTTTGGGGGACACCTCACATCCAAACCATAATAATTGACAACACCACGCCGGAGCCTCTTTCCATTGCATCAGAGCTAATATGTCTGTTTATTAGATTATTTATGTCATATGCACCTAAATAAAGATTGCTCTGAAAAATCCAGAATCACTTGTCTATGTTTTATGACAGTACAAAGGTGTCTGAAGCACTTTGTGATTTGTTGTTTGTTTTTATAAGAATGACAGAATCAAAAGATGAAGAGCAGATTTTTTAGGCTATATAACAGTAACTAGGCAGAGATGCTTAGCTAAAAAGAATCTATTAAGACAGATCTGGAGGAACCTTATTTATTTGATAACTGCTTTGGAGAGAATATGAGCACTTACATTTCCTAGACCTAAATATAAAGAAAGATTTGTCACTGCCCCAAATCCACTGATGAAAAAGAGTTAGGTCCTGTCAAACAAAGGTCTTAAGGAACCTATGAGAGCTATGAGAAAGTAGGTATTATATAGAAAGGACTCGCTCTGCTCCAGGGCCTGCTTCTGTGTATTTGACCGGGGGGGAGGCTATGCCTACCAATTAAAGCTACATGCCTCCACATGGCCCAGGACCAAGTTTACCAGCTGCCAAATTTATGGTGGGGATATATCAGGCCCATTACTGCCTCCCTTTGACATCCCCAACAAATTTAAATAGGCCCTAATTGAGGGGAAAAGATTCATGGTAGGATGGGATGAAAAGCAATTCATCCTTTCTGTATTTTAGATCATAGTTCCACTGGTTTGATTGTAATAGCTGTCTATCACCATTCAACAATATAGGGAGAAGTGTTCTCTATAGATACTACATGGGGACACAAACTATGTATTTAAAAAAGTAAGCCACTGAACTGTTGAGTCAGCCATTAACTAGACAGAACTACCTGTCAGGAAAAGTAACATCTCATGACTTACTGAAAAGCTCAACTCTAATATTTTTTGCATGAACATTTCAATTCCTTGAATACAACCAAGTGCTTTATAAATTCAAGATCATTTCACTCGGTCAGTGTTGTTGGAAGACAAAAGAGTCAAAAAGCAAATTTCTTCATCATGAAAAGCAAATCTTTTAAAAGCCTCCATTCCCATTTTTTTTTTAAAAGTCTCCATCCTTTAACATAATCACTTTCATTTCTTCCCACTTCCAGTAAGATTAACATTCTCCCTGTCCCTCAAGATAGGCCCATAATCCCATTTTCTCTCAAGAACTCTTATCAAATATGTCTTCTGTTCTATAGACTCCACCTCCTGAACGTTCAGATGTTTCCGTGTGACGTCTCTTTTCCAGTCCCACTGTTGGCTTCTGAGTTCACACTTCACCTGAATTATTGCAGAATGTTTTGAACTCTTCTCAGGTTAGCCTGTCATTAGCTCATTTGCCAGGTGAGTTGCCGTCTTCCATAATAGTGCAGCACTTTTGGGCTATACATACTATCTCTTGGAAAGATTTTGACACATGAACCACTCTGTCTTTCTAGGGTAGAAACCAGATATCTATGGGCTCTGGCTTGGGCCCATTTGCCCTCCTAGTAAGGGCCCAATCATGAGACCTGGACTCAATCGATGATGCTACTCATGCAGCATTTAGATTCAGAAGTAAGGTGATAGAGGAAGCAGACTCCTTGTGGACCTACCTTGTTGGCGAGTGTTGTAGAAGGTTTCGTAATCTGGTATTTATAAGC